GACTTTGAAATAATTGAATGAACGAAGAAAAATTGAATAATTAGAAAATGCAATAAATTAGAACTAAAAGATAACTACGTATATTAAAGAATTGGATTTACCTTACAACTAGCAGTACAAGATACTGTATTGTGATAATATAACCAATTTATTAGTCGATTAAAAGAAGCTATCTGATAAGATTTCTAAAACTGCCCCAACATCGCCAGGGTAAACAACGGACACATGAATAAAATGGGATATTGATATAACCATAAATTAATAACTTTGAAAAATTTTTGTAATAATAAATTTAAAGCAGATAAGATCTATTTAATAAATTGCAATATGATTGCTTTTACACATAATTAGCAAAGGTCTTTAGTGCTTCAAGCAAATTACAATTTTGTTTTATAATAAATAACGAGTGTTGTTATTGTAGTCGATACCGTCTAATTGCATAATATCTAATTGCATATAAACGCATAAAAAATTATATTCTCGTAAAAATAGTTCTTACAATATAAATGTATATGCTGTATAAATGAATAAGTTTTTGACGGGTGGCATGCGATTACAGTCAACTCCCGCTAAAATATCATAGTGGTAGTGAGAGATACATAGTACCGTTTGCCACTGCTAACAGTATCCCCAAAAATAGTATCCTACCACATAAAGTACCCCCTCCTCCACAAATGAGATCACTGGATTCGTGAATAGTACCCGATTTTAAAAATGATGTTCTTGAATAAGACCCCGTGTACTGTAAGCGGTAATAGTCACATCGTGTGATTATGGTGAGCTAATTTGTAATAACCATAAATGATTAGTATTTAGCTTTAAAAAATTGGGACTAATAGATTCATATGGGGAGTCAATAGAAAAGGGACAAATCATTTTTAGTTAATTTTTAAATTAAAATATTTTAACAATTATATCTTAAAATAATATGGATTTAAAATAAAAAATTATTAAATTTGATTAGATAGTTGTTAAGATATTTAAGTTTAAATTAAGAAAATTTTTATTTAAAAAAAATTGTTCCTTTTCTATTGACTTAACCCATATATTGGATTACAACAATTATTGCAGGTAATTGTTGAAAGATGAAGAGTATTATCTTGACGAGTGATAAACCGATTGCAATGATCAATTGTGTTACCAGGTTCATCATGAACATGATGAACACCAACAAAATTTTTGAGACCCATAGAATCATAATTACTCTCAAGAAAACAGCCCAAAGAGACCAATCTATCTGAATTGCCAGTTAAAGGTTGAACTCAACAGTAATCATAAATATTGGAACATTTTAAAATTTTCTTTTTGACAATGGGATGTAAGAGACCCTTAGCCATAGCCAATATTAGCCCGAGCTGAGAAGCTTAGCCAGCCGGCTAAAATTATAGCTGATGCCAGATTTTGTGTTCTGATTATGCTAATGACTCGACTCGACCAACTTTGACTCAACTTGCATCGACCTTTATCTTTGAGTCGACTCAAGTCGACTTTTAGCCGATCATATGAGCTTACTATTGTTACAGTATTTTAATGTGAAATTAATTAGTAGTTTTTATGATTACTAATTATCAGCATACTTTAAATATCAATTAACAACATGTTGAGCGAACTTTACCTTGGTTCTTTTATTATTAATTGACTAAGTTGACTGACTTGATAAAATAATGATTATCGACTTAATATCTTAAGTCATTGACTTGAGTTGAATTGTTAGCATCCCTAGTCCTGGTTGACAAAAATAATAATCACTGCATAATTCAGTATTAAATCATATCGACAGGTCTGTATTATCTAATAAATAGAGAAACCGATCGTTCATAATTCTGGTCAAATTCGAGATTATTTAGCCAGATCTAGAACAAACCTATTTTAAATCTGGTAAAATGATCTGCAATTTTAACCATAATTACTTGTCCTAGCATTACTAGCCAAAAAAATTTCATATGACCAATCAAAATTTAGCAATCATCCAAAATTTTTAAAATTTTCTAAACTTCTAGTGAAAGTTTCTCAATAACTATTTGACTAAATTCAGTAAAAATTTTTTTATTTTACCTGTAATTTTTCAGAATTAAATAAATAAAATTTTATTGAATTTGATTTAGTGGTTATTGAGATATCTTTGCTAGAAGTTTAAAAAAATTAGAAAATCAACAAAATCAGGCAATATTTTTCTTTTTTAAACTTTAAGCAAAGATTTCTTAGCAACCATTTATTCAATTTCAATGAAAATTGTTTTATTTTAATTCTACATTTATAGAATTAAAATAAAACAATTTTTACCAAATTAGTATAAGCAATTGTAAGGAACATTTTTTTTCTGTATTGGCAACCTTATTGGTATCTTTATTAGATTAAAACAAATCTATAAGTATATCCTAAATTATCTAAGTTGTATATCTAATATTATTTAGCTTCTTTTATAGACACCCAAGGTGGTCTGTCTTACTAGTTAAGACAATTGCATGTATCAGAGAGTTACACCAAGTTAGTTAGCAAAACTATAACAAGATAGTTTCAATTTAAAAGAATTTTCAACTACATTTAACAATTTTTTCCTTCTAATCTATCCTTCTTTTTAAAGCAATAATCTAATTCTAATTTTATATTAATAATTAAATCTATCTTGTTTTTTACTAAAAAGTTATTGTTAGAATTCTTTTAGTTATACTTACACTTCTATTTTCTTTTCTTTAAATTTATTTTTCCTTTCTAATCAGAGACCTGGCTTTCAGAAATTTTTTCATATCCTTCTCTTTACACTTTTTTTTCCATTTTATAGCTTTATATTTTATTCTTCTTCTAGAAAGCTTGTTCTAAAAGTTTTTTTTAAAAATATTTTTCTTAGATCTTCTTTTCTTCTAACTGTTTTAGGCTTCTTTTAGTTTTTTTGTTTTTAGGTTTAATTAGTTTATTTAGATCTTTTTTCTTTCTTGTTCTGAATTTGAGTATTTTCTTCTTTCTTTTTTTTTTCTTCCTCTTTTTAGAACCTGGTTTTCTTTTTAGAAA